GGGGACCCAGATCCCTTCTGCAGTCGCCTGTTTCAGCAGTGCCGGGCCCAGATCCATGCTCTCGTCCCCGCTCTTGTGCCTTCCCAGCAGGCGCCCCACCACAGGGCGCACGTGCACCCCTCTCAGGGTGAGTACCGCACTTTCAGACTCAGGCACAGCTAGCACTGTCATCTTGAGGTTTAGTTTCAGTGCTTTATCCAGGGTGTCCAGGTTCAATTCTCGGAAAGAGAATATTTTTCCTCCTTCCTCCTCCACAGCAGGGGCACTTCCCAGCTTGTGCCCCGCAGGAAGGCAGGAAGCGTAACCCCACCGCCCAGCTCTCAGTGAGCTATTCTCTAATAGCTAGTGAAGCTGAGCCTCTTTTAATGTCTGTTGGCTATTTATGTCTTCTTGGGAGAAATGTCTGTTCAAGTCCTCTGTCCATGTAACTGGATTGTTTTCAGTTGTGAGTTTTTAAATATATTTTGGATATTAGCCCCTTATTGGAGACATTAATTGCAAATATATTCTCTCATTCAGAAGTGGCAATGGCTCTTCTGAAAAATACTTTCATCCTGTTGGTTTCTCAATTACTTCAAGTGTTCCTATTACTCTCCATCACTATTTACCTATTAAAAGTAGTCCTTCCTTCTTCCAGATTAGTCTATATTTTTAAAGATCACAAAATGATAAACATTGGAACTTTAAAAATATATGTCATTAAGCTGTATAATCAGAAAAACTGGTTTGGTTTTGATCAGATTCTAAACTTAGCTTGTTTGTTTCACCTTTCCTTTCTTACTCATTTGATGTTCTAATATATACTAGATTTTAAATTTCCTTCACTTCTGATGTTCCAGTATCTAAGTTTTCTTTTGGCTTTCACTTAGTACCATTCCGTTAAAAGAATACTTTTAAGAAACCACAGAACTTTGTGCTAAATTTGCTAACTCAAACTCACAATGTGGCAGACTTGCTAAAACTTTATACGTTTCCAAAAAGGAGTTTTTTTAAGTATTCTTATTCATTATCTTCACTTAAATATACTGATAAAAATCCTAACCCTTCCAGATAATTTCAAATTTGTAAGAACGTAATTATTAAACCCTTTGAGTTACATTAATTTTCACATATTCCAAGATAAAGTTAATGAGTTATTCCTAAAACAAAACACTTATTTTTCAAAATTTTTATAACCAGGGCACTTTTATTTCATTTATATACTCGAAGTTAATTCGTTCAGTTTTAAGTGGAAAATCTGGCTTCTTTACTGTTATTAGCACTTTACTCATCTGCTGCTTCAAATGTGTTAAGAAATGGATGCCTAATTTTGTTTCTTAAAACTTTCATGTCATTTCATACCTATTTTTTCTTTCGACATACTATTCCTTAAGGGGGATACACACAAATACCAGTTATAAGGCAAATATTGTTTTGTAGACTAGTTGGAGACTTCTCAAACCTTTTATACATTTAGCTTTTCAAGGATGAATATATAATTGTCTACTAAATTGGAAAACAAGTCCAGCTTGCCAGTGAAAATGTAATATATTGTTTAATTTTGTATGCATTTATGTTCAAAGACACAAAAGGAAATTTTAGACAGAGTAATCCACCCTCCATATTGCATTCATGCTTAACTCAGGAGTAAAATCAGACATGGAACAGCAGCTTGTGGGAATTTTTACTCTGAAATTTTAACAATACAGACATTAAATTTAAACAGTTAACTTCTATTTTTTAATTAAAATTAACAATTACGAAATTACTTTGAATAATTCCACTTTTCCATCTTACCTAAAAATTCATGGGAAGGAAATGCATGTATTTACCTAAATCAACGCTTTTCTCTTAGTAGTAAACAAGTAACAGAAATAGCATTTATATTTTCTCTTTGAAAAAAAAATTTGGTACATAACTGAGTATTATTTTTAATATCTGTTTCGGCCTCCTCTTTCAGATCGGCGTCCCCCACGATCTCCTCTGGAAGCCCTATAACTTGAGCCATAATATGATTCACGAGGAGCAGAATACACTCTATCCACAGATGGTGGATACCCTCTCTCTCGTCTGCCAGAATGCTCACGACCACTTATATAGATATCACTTCTGCTGCTTGAGAAATTTTCACGACCTCCACCATATCCATTTCGTGTACTGCTATAATAATGATCATAGCGACCACTTCCACCATAAGTCAGAGGAGGCCCTCGTGCTGGTGGTATGCCACGAGAGTTACCTGTAAAGTCAATGATCAAATAACAAACTTAAACTACATTACAAAATATTTTTCTCCTCTGCTAAGATATCAACTATGCTGCAGTCACCTAGGAATTTTAAATTTATTTAACAGGAAGTTTAAGGGTAATAGTGTTAGCTAAGTAACTTATTTTAAAGCAAATGCTTAGTCACATTATCTGAAAATGGGCTGAAATTCTGACTTTCATATTGTTCCTATGCTTCATACTGTTTAAAATACCTTTTCTTTGATGAGGAAAATAGATGACACTTCCAATTCACCCTTAAACTTAATCTAGTAGTTTAAAAGAGCTCTTAAGGCCATAATTCAAAGACCTTCAAACTATGAAAAGTCCATATTAGATAGTTTTCCTTTTGTGGAATTGGAAGTAATATTAGAGTAATCAACAGTCTGGCCTATTAAATCTAATTCTGTGATTTACAATTCAAAACTGGACTCTTACCATAGCTCTCATATGAATCTCTGTAAGAGCCTCCACTTGGATGTTCAGAATAATCTCTATCACGACCCCCACCATACCCATCACGATCACTAAATTAAAAAAAAATAAACGTTATTAACTAGTGTCCAAATCAAGAAGTGCAAGGAACTATTTAATAATAGAAAAATTTATTACCTGTATCTTCTAGAAGAATGTTCATCCCGAGCACCTGAATGGCCATAGTCACGGTATGCATAATCTCTAGGTGGTGGAGCATAATCCTTGGTGTCTCGAAAACTGGGATAATCTCTGCTTGGATAAATAAATAAAGCAGCAAATATTTTAAGATGTGCCTTCCAATATTCAGAAGAATATATTTTAATAAAACGTAAACAAAAAGACAAAACATTTTAAACAGACAAAAAACCTAAATGTACTTTTCTCCAAAGATAAACAGTCAACAAGCAACTACTTTACTCCTAAGTTAGCTACAATTAAAAAAAGTGTGTGTGTATGTGTGTGTGTATACGTATAGAGTTAAGATGTAGAGAGAATGGAATCCTATATATTGACGACAGAAAAGTAAATGATACAACTACTGTGGAAAAAACTGGAGGTTCCTTAAGGAAATTAAACAGAATTACAGTATGACCGTAGATGCCTCCAAAATTCAAAACAGGTACTCAAATACTTGTACGTGAATGTCACAATAGTACTATGGTAGAAATAACCAGACAAATGAAAAACTGTTAACTATACCTACAATGGAATATTTAATCAGCCATAAAATCAGTACCTGTCATGTATTGCTACAACATGGCTGATCCCTGGAACATTTCTGCTAACAAGAAGCCAGATACAAAAGGTCACATATTGTTTGATTCCACGAGTATGTTATTTCCAGAATAAGAAAATTGACAGGGAAAAAAGTGGGAGTGACTGCTCAATAAGTAGAGCATTTTATTTTGGGGAGATGAAAATGTTTTGAACCTGCACAGAGATGATGGCAGAATAACGCTATGAGTGCTGCTCAATCATTCATTTTAACATGTTTAATTTTAAGGTAGACAGATTGCATCTCAACAAAAAATAATATCAACTATGATTTAACAGTTCACATTTTTTGTTTTCCTTTACCTTTCTTTAGTAGCATAACCATCATCCCTTGGTGACATCCAGTATTTTCTCCTGGAAGAGAATGGCTCTCTACGTGGAGGAACTCCATAATTTTCTCTCCCACGTGACACTGGACCTTTAATTTTAAAATGCTTACATTAAGAATCTCAAATTGACTGTACTGTTTCAAATAAAAATCAAAACTATTTTCCTCTTTCCAAAATATTTAAAAATTTGATTCTATTTATGCTCATTTTTGTTGAATGTTATTCATCAATGTTTTATCTTCTGACATCTTCCCCTCCCCATATACTTCATATAATCTTTATCATCAGTAGGTAATATCTCTCAAAAATTTGATCTAAATATAATTTTGACAAATACTTTCATATATTCAATCTGATTACATCTTTTTAAATCTCTTAGGTCAGCTTTTCTCCCTCTCTACATCTTTCTTGTTCCTCTCTTCCTTCAATCACCTCGAAGTCTCTTAAACTCACTATTGCTTTTATTGCTTAATGTACTTTTTCTTATAATGGTCCCATTACAACTAATTATTCTTTTCAACATTTAAGTTTTGTAATAGCACCAGTGGAGTAAAACCTTCCACTTGCTCCTCAGGCACCATAATACTAAGTCCTGTTATCATAATTTCAAAATCTAGTTTCCCACTTAGTCTTTTTACGCTATTCTTTCAACCATTTTTAGGTCTCAGAATAATTCCATATATTCCTGTCCTTTACCTGTATATATTCTAACACTGTCCAGAATACTCTTTGTTGTATTAGTATTTTTACTGGACTACTTCATGTCAAATTGTTTACATATATTTTATAATTTGTCACCAAGTGGTTGACCTCATATGCTAAAAAATTTGAATGTACAAGCTTCACCTTAGTAATGATAGCAATATAGATTTCTCCTGCATATTGACAATACAATTTGATGGCATTTTAAGAGCATTAACTCTTTCAAACTATGAAATTTTCACTCAAAATAATCTGTCTGTGCAGACTCTTATTCCTAATTCCTAAAAGTCAGTCTTTTATCATTTGTTCTCTAACTAATCTACTAATGAGAAAATATAGGTTTACTGTGTATTTTGAAATCAAGAGCCATACTGTACTTATTAAATTTTTTAATTTTTTTTTCAATTATAGATGACATTCAATATTATATTAGTTTTAGGTAGACAACATAATGATTATACATTTTATAACTTAAGTGATTATCACGATAAATTTGATACCCACCTAACACCATACACAGCCATTACAATATTACTGACTATATTCTCTATACTGTATTTTAAATCCTCGTGACTATTTTCTAACTACCAATTTGTATTTCTTAACCCCTTCACCTTTTTCACCTAGCTCCTACACCCCTCCCTTCTGGCAACCATTAAAATATTCTCTCTATCTATGAGTCTGTTTCTGCTTTGTTCACTTATTTTATTTTTCAGACTCCACATATAAGTGAAATCAGATTAAAAAAAGCAAGAGGACTTAGAAACAACTCTTAGGCAAGCAGTATAACAATATATCTTCTAATTTAGTGAAGTTTCAAGTTTATACTGTATTAAGGGTGAGACAAAAATTCTACAGTTAAGAGAACTAAAGTTGTCTCTTAGACCACTAAATCCTTTTACTTCCTTCTCTGTTCAATCTAGGATCAAAGGTCTCCTTTTCAAAATGTATTTTCTGTTCTTAAATTTTATTCATCTCATGTTTTAAGGCTTTAAAATCTTTTACAATTAGAGTTTATAACATTTCTGTACCGTTCTTAATGATTAATTTATGTCCTCTATAAATTTCACAAGTAAGTGCACTTCTATCATTTCCTCTCAACTTAAAATGTTTAACTCCTTCAATTCCACCTTTCAAGCCTTAATTTTATTTTTAAATACCATTTAAGCCCACACTGATCTCTTTTCAGCTAAGTGACAAAATACTTATTTCCTACTGGTTAAGCCTTCTTTATTCTAGATATTTTGTTCCCAACAAGATGACTGTTGGAAGCAGAAAATATATCTAGTGTGTATTTACATATTTCTTCCTGTTTTCATACAACCAAAACCACTGCTTTGCACATAAACATTATGGCCTTAAAACTGAACTTTCTACTATCTTTTAGAATAGGGAACTATTTGTAAGGATCTTCTGGAAGAACTCATGTTGACATTAAGAATGTACCCACCAACATCTGCATTTAATATAAAATCACTAAAGTGCCATCATGCCCCAAAGGAAAAAATAATTCATAAGGCAAGTTTCAGTTTCTCTATTTGACCAAGTTGTCAAAATACAGGTTGTCCAACTATGCTACTGATCAGAATATCCTCTCACGAGACCCTGGTTTTCATGGAATTTTTATTAAGCCATGTGAAAAGGCCTATTAACCAGAGTATTTTCAGGAACTTTAAAAATTGAGGTACTCTATATCAAACATGGACTTAAAAGGAATGTTTACTGTAGTGTTAACTACCTACTGCATCTATAATTAGAAGCTGAAGAATTACATGGTTATTTCTTTACCATGAATCAATAAATAACTTAGTGATGAGTAAATACTCCCACATACTTCCATTTTGCTTGCTGAATTTAAAGTTAAGCATTCAGTTTAAACAGTTCATTTTCCTTCATTAAAAAATACTGTTTTTTCCTTATCTAACACTTACCTCGTCTTCCCATCCCACTATTATTTTGCCCTGGAGCAGAAGGGGCAGATCTTTTAGGAGGAGGTCCTCCACTTCTTGAAGATGGACCCCTTTTAATTGGAAAGGGTCCCCTGGAAGAACTCATGTTGAGATTAAGAGCATATCCACCATCATCTGTGTTTAAATAACATCCTTTTAGTTAAGTAAACATTTTTAAATCATCAAGTTTCAGTTACTGTTTATAAATATTTACTAAACAGTAGCATGATCTTAGGTATTCATATTAGTCTAAATTAATAAAGTTTTCTCTTTATGTGACAATACAATTCACATACTCATTGTAAAAGTCAGTTTGGATAAACCTAAGAAAATTCAAGACACATTTTATATTGGTGAAAGAAACAGATTTGCAGAGAATTAATTAGGTGCAGAAAAATATAAATTAAATTCAAGAATGGTCTTTAAAAACATAGGAGGAAATGGTGATAGTTCATCTAAGACTAATGTCAAGAAAACTTTTAAAAATGTATCACAAGCATAATTCAAAGTATTAAAGAAACAGAAGATGCATCAGAAAAATTCATTCTCTAAAAGACTAAGTTACAATTCCTACAATTTCTTTACAAAATAGTCCTATCAATGAAAAAGACTGTGTTCTGCTCAATTTTAAGGATACTTAAGAAATACATATTAATTAAAAATGTTTTACCTTTCAATCTAGAAAAATGTTGAGATATATTCCAATTCTCCAATACTGTCACAGTTAAAAAAATAAATTAATATCTGTATTTATGGTAGAATATGAATTATAGTAAATTGATAAACTTTTCTCAAAAACATAGTGAAAATTATCTTAAAGTGGGGGCAAACCCTGCAACTACACATAAGGAAACATTTCCTAAAAATCACATCTAATAAAAAACAGAAGCTAAATCTGATTTGAGAAGACTGGTTAACCTGTAAAACAAAGTTTGCCTGATACTTGGATATTATCGAAATGAAAAGTGCCTTTCCGTTAAACCTAACAGGAAAAAAAGATTTCTATGGAAAAAGGTCATAAATGCCTTTTCAGGAACTCATTCTCCAACACAAAGAAAGATACATACATGTTGTGAAGCTGTGGTTTTTAGTCTTTTCCTGCATCAGAGAGATACCTTTGAGAATCTAAGAAAAGCTCTAGATAGTTCCTTTAGGTATTTCCCCAAACGCAGAGTTCATTATAACAGATCCAGGTAAAAACCTTCCTATCAAAATGATAGAAATTTGTTTGTACATGTATTCACCAAACACAAACATTTCAAGGTTAAACCTAAAATATGAAGTGTATATCCCTGAATTGTGGGTATTGCAAATGATTTTTATTTGCCAATGGGTATTTTTCAAGATTCCCTAATATTTTTATAATGCAATGATGTTATCCTCAGAACAAAAAAAGATTGTATTTTAATTGCTTTTTATCAGTCATAAATATAAACTTATACGAAGTTCTTAGTCTCAAAGTAAAAAATTCTAACATATGATTAACAGAAATTAGTTCTGTAGAAAAATGGTTGATGTGAATATAGAAAACAGAAGCAATGGTAAAAAAGACAATTTAGTTTGAAATTTATGTCATTTTGTTGCAAGGTGATTAAGATTGTTTTGCACATTAACTATTTCAATCGTTTCTATACCTGTAGTAATTATTTAGCTCTTAGAAATCATTTTATCAATGTTAATTCCTCATATATTGAATCTTAATTGTTTACTTTGCTTAAAAAGTATATAGAATTTGAGGTATTTCTGCACATTCAAACTTAGCTTTTGTCTTATGATTGCATCCTTAAATTTTAAAACATTACCCAAGTGTCCTCCACGTGAAGGACGTCCTCTTGCTCCTCCACTTCCTCCTCTTCCACATCTCAGAACTCTTGGATGGCCTCTGTTTCTTGAAGGAAATGGTGGCCTCCGTCTGCCACCACTTTGAAAAGTTGGTTTGTTGGCTTGCTCTACTTTAATTAGTTTACCGTCCAAGGACTATAAATATTAAAGATAGTATCAATAACATCATATTATATAATTAGTATAAGAGGATATTACTTATATATATGATGGAGAAGAGATAAAATGGAGCAAATATGCAACTTGTTTTTGAAGGAGACCTTTTAATTTGTGAGGGAAGAGTCATCCCTGACAAGTCTAAAATAAAAACCCAAGGCTTAACATAGCAGTAAATATTGGAGATAGCTTAACAAATAAAATAACTGTAAAACATATTGAGATAATCTAAGAAAAAATAAGCCAAAAAGAGTCCAGAATGGAGTGATCTTGAGTGCATATTAAGAAATTCTTATTTAATAGAATCACTGAAAACTTTAAAAGATATAGGAGACACATACTCACTAGATTTTAAGATCCATGAGGAAAAAGACTATTTCATTCATTAATACAGAACATGAACATTATTAAAAAATGTTTACCTTTCCATTCATATCCTTGGTAGCATCCTTAGCATCTTCAGGGTTCTCAAATGTAATAAAAGCAAAGCCCCTGGACCTGTTTGTTTCTCGATCCTTCATCAGAAGAACTGTAATACGTGTAAACCTTTTAAATTTACTATTCCCTAAAACTGAACTTTTCATATTTTCAAAATTATCCATACTTTCACAATTTCTTACAAGTCTCTCTTAACTTAATTTGAATTCCTGGACACAGCATAATAAGTATCTTTTGAAAATTATTTTTTTAAAAAAGCCTTACATTTTATATCATTAGAATTAGTACACTAATATCTATAGTAAATAAACTCTATGGTTAGCCTATCTTATCTTATTTCATGCCCTGTTTCCAGGATACATTCATTGCTGTTACTTTGCTTTCAGTATTAACAGACTGTTAGACAGAACTTTTAACTCACTGCTATGAATGCTTTCCTAATATATAACAGAAACTTAAAAACAATGCTCATACAAGTATCAAGAACAGAAAATAAAATTGAGCTGTCAATAGTGTATATTTAATGTATATTTACTTTGAGCACATATGTATGTTGGTTCTAAGAGTTACCTTCTATTATGGGACCATACTTCCCAAATACTGCTTCAAGGGCCTTTTCATTGGTGTCGATATTGAGGCCTCCTATAAATAGCTTCCCAGGCCGATCTGCTTCCACCATTGTGCTGTAAAGTGGTTAAATATACATCAATATATATGGAACAGAAAAAGTATAAGCCAAAGAATCAAATTGTATGACACAGGGCATTTTAAAACTCAAGTGAAGTATCCTACTCGAGCTAATTAAAATTTTTTAAAAATCTGTACCATATAGTTGAATAAGCGCTGGCCTAATAAACAGTGCATTTTTTATAGGTATGAGACAAATAGTTACATGTAAAAATTGGATTGGAAGACTAGTGCAACCTTTTTTAGCTGTAGCATATAAGGCTTCGCTTTCTAAAAATAGTGGATTTTTTCGTCTAAAATAAGTGGTAAAAAGTATTTCTGGATTCTGCACATCAACTAATATAGGCAGGTTCATGAAATGTACATAAAAAGACCTTAAACATATTTTACATTCCCATCCCCGCAATTTCCATTTTTTAAAAAATATCATTTAAGAGTATTTAACGTAATTTTCTATTTCCAAAGGTTTTTAAAATACGAAATAGTAAATTCGAGGGAATTAAAGCTCTTACTAAAGCAAATTTAAAACATGATTATGTAGATAGGCTTTAGCAAATATTGGTTAAAGTGACGTGATTTATAATGAACACTAAAATTTGACACTTTCTAGTAAGCGAATAACATTTTGACATTTGATAACTAAAAATGCAAGTTCTTAATCAGAGTGGTTTAGTATCTTGACTCTATCTTTCAGAAAGAAAAACCGGTAAAAAAAATAAAGCACACATGAAACAAAATGGCGGCTCGACATTCTATATGAAAAATAAGAGATTACCGGGCACAACTTGAGTGAGATAAACCAAGTTCACACTGAATTTCTTAGCTCTACTGTGGGGTTCTCTAGTCAGTACTATCCGCCACAGCTGACTTTGGTGCCTTTTGCCACCCCCTAAGCCTCCGTTCGTGGACGAATTTTGGACACTTCACTGGCTTTCCACTGCTGCCCCCGAACACATTGTTGAGGAGTTTAAAAGTTATCAGAAACCTATTCATCAGAAAATAGATCTATAAGTAACTCCCCCAAATATCATAAGGTCATACATATGTTTAATTATATACCCACTATTTACTGCAATTTTAAAACACTGAAAAAGCCCGAGAAAAAGTTACAAAGTCAAAATCACCGTTGTCTCCACATCCACAGAACATAATATACCTATGGACTCTCTCCGGAGGCATAAATTTATATTCTGTTTTAAAAATTCTGAATACCGTACCTTCTTCCTTGTTTTTATAAGGCCCCACCTCGAGGCGTCCCTCAGCGAGCGCAAGCTTAACGGTTGGGAGCGACAGAGCAACCGATATACGGGAGGTAAAAAAACCCGGATGTGACCGGAGACTGCGCCGCAGAGGAAGTAGGGAATGAGGAAGATTTATGAAGTCGAAAACAGTTGAATAGAAAAGGAAAAGAGAAAAGTCTAAAGAAAATGTAAAATCAAAATATTTTTTAACTTTCATTTTATTCTTTACTTACTCCTATTTCTTTGATATAATCAAGATAAAGGAAAAACTAAATTTTTACTATCAAATAGCGATCTAAAATTTGCTCCCCTCCCAAGTTTTGTCGGTTCACTCATTCTCACACGGCATCTAGTTTGTTTTTTTTTAAGTTTTAAAACGTGAAAAGAAAAAATATATGATTACAATAAGGAGAATATGGTAAAAGAACTAAAATAATGAAAATATTTGGGAATCCAAAGCTTCAGTATAGTTGAAAGATATGAAAAAATCAATTTCTGTAAGTAGATAAATCTAATGTTTTGACGAGAACTTTCAAAATTAACAAAAAATATCCACGTGAGACGATTTCGAACCTCAATCTGTATAAAAAACAATTTTTTTAACAACACTGGTAAAATAAATATATTTGTATTTCTGAAAAAAATGCCATTAGCTGACAAATTATTCTTTTCCACTGTAAAATTATTCCTTCTATGATTTAATTTCTAAAATTAAATCTAACATTACAAAACACACCTAAGTGCAGAGTATGACTAAAACTTATTTTTATGAGTTTCTGTAGATTTTGTCTACACATTTTACATAGGAATGAATTGTCTCTTAAAATTTACAACTCATCATGCTTTTGCTACACTTTTCAGTGTTTTTACCTTACTTTAACAAACTAATGCCTCTTAATTTTTATATCTAATTATGACATTTAGAATTTTCATATCTCCTATAAATAATGTAGTGCTGAACACATGTGTTAAAAATCTTAATTTTTCTCTTTTCGGTATTTTTTTTCCTGTAAATAACTCAGCAGTGACATTAGGCACCAGAGGTAAAGCTACTTTACATGCTTTTATTACAAAATTTTTAAAATGACAATTACCTATCTATTAGTACTACTGTTAATTTTTTGATCAAAACCATTCCATAAACATTTTACCCACATATTCACTACATTCTTACCAGAAAGACATTGGCTCTGTCAACATTGTAGATTTTTTTTTCATTTTGAACAGGTGATATGTATTCTTTTTAATTTATATCTCTTTGGGAAAATGAATTTTATTAAGTTTAACAGACAACGCGATTATAAATAATTGAATAATATGTAATTGGTAATTAATACAAGTAAAGAATAGACTAAAAGTAGACAGGAAATAATGTGTTATGACAGATGCCATAAAATATTTGAGACAATGCCCCACTGATTAAAAAAGTGTATTACACAAAATAGTGACTGTCATTTCCTAAATAATATTAGAATCAATCACTTGGATAAAATATCTCTATATTGTATATTCAGTTAAATTTTAGAACCCCAGTAACAATATAATTATGTCCTTTCTGTAAAAAAGGAAACAAAATAAAAACTTTAGGCTTAAGTTAAAAATAAATAAATTTTTTAAAAAACTTTAAAACAGCCCACAGTTTCAGAAATCTGTTCTAAAAATGCTGAGATTTAAATCCAATGATCTGCCCTAGACATTTGTTGTTAAAGAAAACCAACTCTTAAAAATATAAATAATAAACATTTATTGAGTTGGATTTTGAGAGATCTGAAAATGGACTGTAACTTATTATATGTACTGCATAAGGAACCTGTTCTAGGCAGAAGTAGCAACATTTGCAGAGGCATGTGTTTATTAAAAGCAGTGTGGAAAAATAAAAAAGAGAAAATCAGCATAGCATGAGGTTTTGGGTAAGAATGTGCAGAAACGCTCAGCGTTAAAAGTAAAAGACAACTTGGAGGATAACCTGCATTTTCAGGTCAGGTATTTGTGGTAGATTAAAAGGAGAAAAAATATATAAAACATTTTGCTTGCTATGCAAATAAGCTACTTGCTTTAGTTTTAGAGGAGCTGTTAAAATTACATAGTTGTGTAAAACATTTTGCTTGCTATGCAAATAAGCTACTTGCTTTAGTTTTAGAGGAGCTGTTAAAATTACATAGCTGTGTGAAATTGTATAAACTATTTAACCTTTTAAATGTATCCAAGAAAATTAATTAATGGTATTATATATGTTTACTGTGAAGTTAAGTGGTATTCAGGGTGTAACCTGAGCGCAACACTTAAAACGTAATTCAGAGCTACAAAAAATTGTGGAACTATTGTAATAATCTTTGTGTTAGGTAGGAGGCTGACGTTAATTTGTAAACTTACTTTCTTTAGGAACTGGTCAAAACCTTCGAAACTATATATTTTAAAAAAAAAAAATTGTGTTGCTTTGGATGCCTTGTGTATCCAAATCATCATTGTACACTTTTACTAATAACATGCCTAAAAGTGGGATGGAAAAAAAGGACAGAACACATATACACACCTCTAATGAAGAATAAATTAGCAATAAAAAATGGAAAGTTGTAAGAAATTTTTTGTGCACTATTGTGAAAGTGATTTGGAAAATGAGGTGACAGATGATTTAAGAAAACAAAATTTATCAACATTTATTAAAGAAGAAATAGAAATCCAAAACATAATGAACTTATAATAAATTCTAAGGCATACTCTGAAAAATTTTCTAAATGGTCTCTATACTGCTGATAAAAATAGATAAATAAAACTTTGTATATTATTTCTACTCTCATAGAACACAGAGGACAAGAGTTGTGTTTCAATTCTTTTTACGAATATAGCCTCTAAAAATAGCACACAAGAAACATATATAATACAAATTATAATGAATTTGAAACCAGACCACTTCCTTAATGATAATAACTATTGTAGAGCAAATGATCAAATAAAAACAAAAACATCTAAAAATATTTTCTGCTGGCCGTTATAGGAAGTGTTCTATTTACTTTTTAATTGATCACCTCATTTGATTATTTTAAAAATTCTATTAAATAAGCACTATTCTTATC